TATGTGATACCACCCCTAAAATGTCAGTTTCCTTGTATGGAACTAAAACTAGTTGATTTTTATTTGTGTTTGCCTTTTTCATCCCGGTCTATACTTTCCACCTTGCTTTCTTTTCTTCTCTCCTTCCCACGTATTGTATTGTCAGTGTGACTAAGCCCTGCTACAAATCAAATCTTCAGTTCAAACTTGACCAGCAGAGGGTACTGTTTGAGCACTTAAGTGGACACCTCATCTTTGTTTCACCCATCCAAAGAGAACAATATCTGAATAATAGCCAGGGAGGTTACTCAATAGGCAAGGTGCTGGCAAGATAATATACATCAATGATCATGTTTCAGCATCAGTTTTCAGGAAATTCCCTTTGTTCTCAGCTGCCCACAAAGGACATGCCATGGAGAATGCACCTGTGGTTCCTAGTGATAATGTACTTGAAGGTAGATAAAGAGGGGTGGTGGTAGCAGGGTGGAATCTGCTTCTAAATTTACCAAGTACTTATATTCATCTTAGGTTTAGTGTTCTGAATCAGGATATTAGCCCCTCATGTTCTCAGCTTGCTGGTGAATGATCATGAATTATTCTGCAGTAGCGAATAACATAATAAAATAATCAGGCAGTCTGTGCATTGTAAATCAGGGAGCACAGATGTCTGCAAATGGAGGGGGTATTTGAAGATATTTTACATCTTGTTGGGTTGGGAACACTTGAGAGTTAGTTAGTGATTCTTTATCAAAATAAGGTGAGCATCTCCTTGTTCTGAAATCATGTTCATCATTAAATATAATTAAGTGTATTGTGGAATACTTTGCCACTTAATTTTTACATAAATTTAATCAATTTCTGTAGAGTAGTAGATTGCACATTTCTTAATAAAATTTATTTACTTAGACTTTTACATTAATAATTGAAAAAATTTTATTAAAATAAAAATTGCACATGATAACAAAAAAGATAGAGGCAGTTATGCTGAAAAGCGATAGTTCCCTGCCCTACTCCTTATCCTCTGTCTCTTCTCAGATATAAATTATAATTTTTATAGCTTTCATTGTTACTTACCTCCGGATCTTTAAGCAATCTCCTTCTACTGTCAATTCTTGGGTTATAAGTACTAGATATTATTATCGCCTTCCTAGGCTGATAGGTGAAAATGTAACTCAATTAAGTTACTCAATACCTCCAGTTAGTCCTATCTCTACTTAAGATCTTCATTAGTTACCTATGCAACTTTAGATAAAATACTTATTCCTTTTGTAATGTTAGGTAAAATACTTTTCCCTTTAATAACTGACAATTTACTTTGAGTCCTTATCTTTTTAGCTCCTCCCTCCCATTTCTCCTCAATTTTTGTGACTGTGCCTCTACAATGTTAAGAGTATTAGCATTTCTCTTGTGTTTTTTAATAATAATTTTCCCATCTTTGTCTATAGGTTGATTCTAAAACTGTAAACCAATAAATGGTGTTTACATTGGGGCTCAATATTGTTGATTGCAGTGTCACATGGTATATTGTTATTATACTTCTTGTACAACTTCTACTTATTCTGGTGTTTTTAGTTGCCTTTTTTTTTCTTCTTATACTACTTGCCTTTCTTTTGTTCTCATTTTTTTTTGTCCAATCAGAAATTTGCTTGTTTTCCTTGCTCAAGGAGATGTAGAAATGTCAGAGAAATTACTGCCTATGTTTTCTTCTAAAAGTTTTATGGTTTCTAGTTTAATACTTAAGTCTTTAATCCATTTTGAGTTTTTTATTATATATGGTGTAACAAGGTGGTCTAATTTAATTTGTTTACATGTATCTGCCCAATTTTCCCAGCACCATTTATTAAATAGACTGTGTTTATCCCATTGTATCTTCTTGCCTTTTTTGTCAAATATTAATTGACTATAAAGACTTAGTTTTTTTTCTGGGCTTTCTTTTCTGTTCCATTGATCTTTATGTCTGTTTTTATGACAGTGCCTTGCTGTTTTGATCATTATGGTCTTGTACTATAGTTTGATATCAGGTAGCATAATGGCCCCAACTTTGTTTTTTTTTCCTCAAAATTGTTGTAGCTATTTGGGGTCTTTTGTAGTTCCATATAAATTTTTTAGTTATTTGTCTTTGTTCTGTGAAATACATCATTGGTAGTTTGATAAAGATTGCATTGAATCTATAGATTACTTTGGGTAATCTATAGATTCTATAGATTTGGGTAGTATGGACATTTTAATGTCACTTCTTCCTATCCATGAGCCTGGGGTATACTTCCGTTTATTTTGATCTTCTTCAATTTCTTTCTTCAGTATCTTATAATTTTGTAAGTACAGGTTTTTTACTTCCTTAGTTAAAATTATTCCTAAGTATTTTATTTTTATTGATGCAATCGTAGTTGGTATTTTTTTGTTTTGCTTTCAGATAGTTCATTATTGGTGTATTACTATAAAAATGCAACTGATTTCTGAATATTTATTTTGTATCCTGCTATTTTACTTGATTTGTTTATCAGTTCTAGTAGGTTTTTGGTGGAATCTCTAGGGTTATCTATATACAGTATCATGTCATCTGCAAATAATGACAGTATTTTACTACCCTTTTTCCAATTTGGATGGTCTTTATTTCTTCTTGTTGTTTGATTCCTGTGGCTATGATGAAAATTCATGTGAATTTTTAAAATCCTTACCTGAGGATATGTTTATTGATTTGAGAGAGAGAGAGAGAGAGAAACATTGATCTGAGAGAGAAACATTGATCAGTTTCCTACTGTATGTGCCCCAACAGGGGACTGAACCCACAATCTATGTATGTGCCCTGACTGGAGACTGAACCCGTAGCATTTTGGTGTGTGGGATGATGGTCCAACCAACTGAGCCACCCGGACAGGGCAGTCCATGTTATTTTTGAATGCATAGCTTTGTAACCTGAAATTTCTAGGTAAATATTCAGTGTTTATTTATAGCCTACATAATTTATAAAAATGTATTTTTAGTGAACATGTTTAAGATATCTTTTAGCATGTGTCACTTCTCTGGCCATTTTCTTAATATTTGAAGGTAGAATAAGTCAAACATTTGCTTAATCCTTCTGAGGTATAATTTATTTCAAATGATCATATCTAGTCTTTAATACAATACCGCGTTTGGGGCATTGCCATTGTCTCATCCTAGAGGTGAAAAGTGGAATTTCTGAGAGAGTTGAGGTGAGTCTAAGATCATACACCTCATGTGTGCATGTTGGCCAGCTTAGGTACAAGCCTTTCAATGCTCCTACTCCTAAGCCATGGCATGTCTCTTAGGTACTACTCTAGAAAGTTCCAATAAATACAACAGCACAAATAGGAAGTTAATGTTGACAGAATATATTCCTTTTTTCACAAAGCTTCATTTGTAATGCTTTAGTTTTAGTCTTGGTAGTACTTTTAAAATAATAGTTAAAGCTGTCCCTGAATACTTGGTGAGGGTATAGCATTTCTTACTTCTCACTGGGGGGCAGGGCTGCAGTAGAGTCAGACTATTCTAATTGTCTTCGACTATTCTATATCTTACTACATTGTAGGTCAGATAATGTGGCTTGTAACATTAAAAACTGTGTTAATTATGAGATTTTATAACAGGGTTATACAGTATATGTTTGCCAGTTGGGAAAAAAAGATAATTATACTTGAATGTAGGTCACATTTAAGAAACTCTCTTAGGCCTAAGGGGACCCATGTTTCCTTAAAAATCAGGAATTAATGATGTTCAAGAGGATGGTGTCTCTCTCATCTTCTGACCCAATTCTTCTGGTCAGACATTTTTTTTAAACCTTTTTTGGTGGCTGTTCTTAGGTAAAGAAAGTTGCGTAATTTCTAGTAGGGCAATTTTGGCCAGTTGTGGTAGTGGCTAAGTTGGACCTTGGTTATAAGAAAACTGGCGATTGAAGCATTACCAACCAAGATGTTTAAAGCCACATTCCTGTGATTGGTAGTATAAGCAGATAATTCTAACTCACCCCAAAGTGTTTTATGCTAACTTTTATATAGGAAGGAGATTTTTGTTTGTTATGTGGTTGTCTTAGTCTTTGTTCTGAAAAATTGCTGATATGTTCAAACTGTCAGTTTCTTTGTGTTTTTTTGCTTTTTTCCTGAGCATTTTTGGTTTCAGTATTGCCCAATGGCAAATCTAAAAAAACACCATTTTAAATGGGAGTGAACTCCACATCAAAACTAAGGAATCTGATATAATTTTGTGGCATCCAAGGAAACTGTTTTACTTAATGAATGATTTCAATGGAGGCGTGATAAAACTCTTCACTCACAAATTTCCCACCCTGTGCCCCACCCCTCCCTCTAGGAGAAAGAAAGGCTGCAAGAAAATAACAGACTTTTAAATTCATTGTATGGCCAAGGAAGGAACAAAGTCTTCTAATGGTGTAGCAGGATTTCCTTGAAATGGTGCAGGATTTCCCAAGCTCTGTAGTGCAGTGGATCCCAGCTCCCAAAATCCAGAGCAAAGCTTTGATTTCACCACTGCAGTTTAAGTGGTTTAGTGGTTTAACTTGGGTTTGCCTTGGGGCAAAATTGCTTTTTTAAATGAGAAAGAGAAGAGCTCTAAACTTTAATTTACAATTTTGAGTGGTCTGGGATTTTTGTCAGTTTGAAATGTGTCCATTTCAGTTATTGTTTTTATCTTTGCCTGATTACTATGGCATATCATAGTTCACCAGTCAGCCAATGAAATATTTGAAGGATCAATTTTATAACCTGTATTTCTCCTTATCTCTTTTCCATCTTTAAATAATTAAGTTACTTGAACAAACTGCTTTGAGGAACTAAAAAATGTCATAAAACACATTGTACCTTTAAGATTATCAGGATTTTTTTTCAGTGCAAACACCAAGCCTTGGAAAGACACCAGGCATGAAAAATGATGGGGAAATGGAAAGATCTAGGTCCTGAAATACTGTTCCTGATTGGGTCCCCCAGTTCCTCCTCCCAGCAAATACTTGGCCTGCAGGACTGATGCTTAGCTAGCCATATGGTTTCTATTTATTTCCCAGTTTTTCATCCATTCCGCCTCCTCTGTGGATTGGATTGTGCAACTAGCTTCCTCTAACTGGTTTGATTATAATGTGTCTTTAAAGGGAGGCCTCAGATCTGTTCTCTCTTCTCTCCCTGAAATTTGTTTGCTGATTACTAAACACAGTGAAGCCCCCCAGCAAGCTGTAGATGGCCTGGATGCATCTCTTGGCTGCAGTTTACATATTCAGACCAAATACAGGATCCTGAATACAGAATTGAGAAAATGTAGTTTTTCCTTGGCCTATTCAGGCCCATCTAGCTGTTAATTTCCACTTCAGACTTCTTCTGTGATACCGGGTGAGTGGTGTGTGAATTCCTGGGGTTTGAGCTTTCTGTGCAGTCAGCTCTTCCCACTAGGTGAGCTGTGGCCCAGGACTCAAGCTGCTACTTGTCTTTGGGGTGTAGTATGTTTAGCTAATTCCATTGACTATAATTCTAACCTGGTGGCTGTTGTTAAATCTTTGAGGAGAAGATGTAATCTTCAGGCCAAGGGCACAACTATTCTTGACACTCCCCAGGCCTCAAAGCAAGAATTTGATTTGTTTTTTAAACAAGATTTATAAGCTGCTCAGACTGATCTCCACTCAAAGACTGTGGTTGTAACCTAACCAGGAGAGTAGAAGCACTGCTTTCATCAAGTCGGGCGTTATTCAAGGCTGTAAAGCACAATGAAGGAGAAGGAATGGATATCATGCTTTAAACACACGTCTAATTGCTAGGAGATCATTCAGGTAGCAACCCAATAGATCTTCCCCAATGATCTGTGGGAAGACAGTCTTAAATGCTGGAGAAGAGCAAGGCTGATAATAGGTAAAGGGTTGTGGTTGGCTGAGTCTCCTTAAATTCTTTTGAAAGCCTTAGGATGACTTGTTAGGGTGTGCACATACAGAATAAATGCAAGTGTTTCTGAGACTCTAAGACTCTGTAAATAAGAGCTTTTAAGTAGATCTAAAAGAATTTGAAGAAACAGAAATGGTGGGGGTTGAATACAGAGTATCACAGATGAAAGTCTAAATCTGGTGAAAGTAAGCTTAAGATTCTACGTTTCCCTGTTTGAATAACACTCACTGGTTTGAAATGTTAATTGTGGGACATTTGGAGAAAACTTCAGGCTCATAGCAATTTATTTCTGTAAGGAGATGAATAATTTGGGGGTGAGTTTTTAGATTTTTAGAATACCACATTTGGTAACCCTGCTATAAACTTTGGAATATATATATATATATATATATATATATATATATATATATATATATTGCACTCCATAAAATTACTATAGCAGTTTAGTTTAGTTTTTTTTAATGGCCCAGCCACTATGTGCTGCAGCACTTGGATTTGATCCATAATGCTTCTCAGTCCAACGGCAATCTCTGGAGCCCAGAGCCTTGGGACTGGTTCCAAAAAACAATAGGTCAACATTGGAAAAGAAAGAAGTTGTTGCCCAGATTGCCACAAATGGAAATGAGAAAAGAGAAATGCTTATCAGGATAAATAAACGCAAAGTCTTATTATTAGCAAGGGAGCAGGGAGCGGGTGGAGGGACAAATAGGCACAGGACTGACATGAACTGAACACTTACTCAGGGTCTCACATGTTATTAGAGGTTTTAATGCCTTTTTTCCCCACTTAGTTCTCACTAAGTCCTAAAGATTTTATTATCTTTTTATTATTACAAATAAGGAAACTGAAGAGAGAGGTCAAGAAAATTGCTCAAGGTCACACACAAGCACATGGTAGAGATGATTGTTGACTAAAGCTTATGTTTCTTCTACTCTTCCACAGGTAGATCTATAATTAATTATTCAGGTCAATGTATAGTGGCTATGGATGATCAAATCAGCCTGATTTTAGGGCTTCAAAAAGCCAAGATATAGAGTCATGGAACCTTGATAATCAGCTTTAGTCAGATATCTTTGGCTTCATTCACTCACTCAACAAATATTTGTTGAGCTCCAACTATGTGCCAGGAATTGAGCTAGTTAATGGTACTACAGCAGGATATGAGAAATTCTCATCTTTATGAGCTTATACTTAGGAAACAGTGAATGAGTAAAGAAGTAAACACAGTCAAGTCCATGAAGGGATTAGTTTAGTAAGTAGAACTATAGTGTTATTCCAATACTCCAGGTTGCTATGGGGAGGAGAAGCAAGTATAAACTAAATATTCTTGTTATCTAAACTTTATCAAGAACTAGAACTGGTCCCACTGCATAGCAAATCCCCAGGTGAGGATGCCCTCATCTATGGATTGTTTCACTTAGAGATTAGCAGCTATTAACCATTCCCCTCAATTTTCTGTGTATATATGAGGTCTGTCCAGAGGTATCCAGCCATGCAATATGAAAAATAGAGACATTTATTGAAGAGATATGAGATATAAGAAACAGTGTACGTAGACAGTGATGCCTCAGTCCCCTTCAAAGTAGGCATCCTGGGATGTCACACAGTTTTCCCAATTACCATCACTTGGCCCGTCATATTTTCTGAAACTCATGGATAGTCTGAAATCTCTTCCTTTTCAAAGGTAGTTTTAGTTTTTGGAAAAGTCAGAAATCACAGGTTGCCAAATCTGGGCTATAGAGGGGCTGAGTCACCTGGGTAAGTTGATGTTTCACCAAAAAACTCTGCATGAGATGTGATGCATAAGCAGGCACATTGTTGTGATAAAGCTGCCAATCACCAGTTGTCCATAGCTGCAGCCTTCTGAATCATCTGAAAGTTTCTGTGCAGGAATGTTCAAACTTAACTCAAAATTCAATGCAGATTGATTGTTGTACTTGCTCAGTCATTTTGAATGCAAAGACCACACAGTTCACATGCTCACTGAATGAAGTCTACCACTCCCACTGACTAGTACAGTGAAGTCATCATTGTTCACACACACACACATTCCAGTCCACTCTCCTTGGCTGCCAGGTTGCATCAATGTCACACACACCATTCTTGATATATTAACAATGACTGGACTTTTTCCAGATAGAATTTGTATATACTTCTCAACTTCTTGAGTCTTTCAATTTTTTTCATGTAAAGAAACTTTGTTTTATTCCATTGATACTGAATGGTGGGGAGAAGCACTGTACTTCAAATAGGGTTAAGGCATCTCTATTTTGGAATGGGGTAGTTTTTCAGGAAAGGGAGTGGGTTTTTCTTCTTTTAAAGGCCACTCTTTTTTTTGATTTAGCTAAGAAATATAGTTGAATAAAAAATAAAGCTTGAAAATGAAGAGTATGACATTTACCTTAAAAGTACCAAAAACACTGAAAAAGTGTAAAGGCACATATACATATGAAGAAAAATATCTAAGAAGAGACAGCAGACTCTGGGGAGAAATTTGGGATTACAGTTGGTGTCCGAATGGGATTTTGTCTAATTCACACCGTTATAATAGTTTACCCAGAGAATATACACATATATTATTTCTGTAACTAAAAAACAATAATGTAAAAAGAAGTAAGTTTAATGGAGCCCAACCTGGGAAGCCGTTGCAATATTCCAGAAGAGAGGCGATTCTGACCTGAATAAAATAGAAACCTAGTGGTTGCAAACCAGGGCTCCAGTTCCATACTGCTTGGGCTTGAATTTCTGCTCTTGCCCTCGACAGCTGTGTGCCAACTGGGTAAATTATCTAACCTATTTGTGTCATGGCCACTTCATCTGTCAATGAATATGCAAAAAATAGCACCTACTCATAGAGTCACCGTGGTAATTAAATGACTTAATATGTGAAAAATGCTTAGAACAATGGTTAGTACTTTGTAAGAGCTCTACAAATACGAGCTACCCTTTTAGGGGGAATAAACTGGACTGGGTTGGGAAAATGGGAAATGGTGAATAAATAAAGATGCTAGTGCATTGGGTACCAGATTGATGCTAAATGAATGTCTTGTCGGGCCTTGTGAATCATAATGCTTTTTGCACTGCCCCTACGTGCTCTGAGGTCATGGGGGTACAGACATTATAATGACTCTCTCCAACCCTATGGCAGGTACTGCAAGTTGCTTTTTAGTCACAAATTGCAATCTGGAAGGAGATGGTTACCTCACTTAACCTTCTGTCTAGTTCTCTAATTAGTAAGTTGGTAAGCATGTCACTTATCTTTAGTGCTTAGATTTTTTTTTAATTAAGGTGACTATACACATTTCAACAGATATGAAATGCCTCCTCTCCACCTTTCCCTCCTTACTCTATTGCATTTTTAGTCACTGATAAATCTGTTTCTCTGAATAATGTTGTGGAGAACAAGACAGTTCAAAGGAAAACATTACCTCTCATGGTCTGTTTGTGTGAAAACACAAAGATAAATATCACCCAAGGGGTGGTGGGAGTCAGGGGAGATCCTGGTACTCTGCCTGGCCCCGAATCATTTTAAGCATCCAATGAGGAAATGTTTACTTTGACAGAATGTAAAGCACTATACACATTAGTATTTGGCTATTGGCATTTTTTTTCTCATGTTTTTCTATTCCATGTGAAAATACTGCATGGAAAATTCTAGCGGGTTGCATTCTGAATAAATAGTATTAACTGAGTTAATATTTATTTCTCTTTAGTTTCATCTACCTGTCTCATCTCTGAGTTTACTAACTATTGAAAAATTGTTTAAACCTTGGCATTTTATTCACTTTAATTTTGAGGACACTGGTAGGACAATTGCTGAAGCTTCGGAAAAGAATAAATATTTAATTTAGATGTTATTCTCCCCTCTGTACCCATGGTATCCCTATGCAATTTTTTTTTACCATTGTGACCCTAAATGAGGTTTTGATAATACTAAGGCCTAATCATCCACACTCAGGAAACTCTTTGAGTCCCTCCCGGAGGTCTTAATTTGGCCTTTATTACCTCAATTTGAGTCATAATTTAGTTTAATGAATGGCTGCTTGGATACATCCACCAGATTCACCAAGTTGCAGTCACAGTTCCAGCCCTTTCTCTGTGCTGCCCCATATTCCTGGCTGTTGTGCCTTTTTGCTTTCTACCGTAAAAGAAAAAGTGCTTTTGTTACTTTGGGGCTTATTCTTATTTGTAAACCAAGAGTATTAATTTACATATTTTTGTGGTTTTTTTATCCTGGATTTTTCTCATTCTTATATCAGGAAATATCTTAGTATGTTATGAATTTGAAGTTTAATTTTCAAATGAGAAGATACTGAGCTTTTGTGATGCAGTTTTAAAAAATACCACTTTATTGAGGTATAACTGGCATATAGTAAATTATACACATTTCAAGTGCACAATTTAAAAGCTACTTTTGAGTAGTAAACATCTGTTTACTTTCCACAGATTCTCCTATA